GCGGTTTTCCCCAACTCGACATATATCAGGCGTAGCGCCCACAGGTTCAGTCACAAATACAGCATCAGAGAAATTGCCAAATTTGCAAAGAGTATGCGCCGTGAAGTTCAATGTTTCTCAAAGGAATATAAACTGACAGTACACTAGACCGAGGATATACTGCGTTGGTTGTGGTTCACGAAGACCAAAAGCGGCCTCATCACATGAGCATATGTCATTTGAATGGAGAGGATGCCCCTCCTGGCCCAACACTTACCTATACTATCCGTCATTACCTGCCAGGGAAATCTCTCCTTGGGCACGGTAATCCGACAAACCACTATGTAAGCTTTTATCTTGCATACAAAGTAGGAGTCTCCTGGTACTAACAGATGACAGCCTGAGCTGCTGCTCAATGGCTTCAAGACCCCATTAGGTCTTTTGACCGCAAAATCGTTCAACACTCTCTTCCCCCCTCAACCCGAACTCTCCGGAAGACAGGTCGTGACAGTCCACAACCAGCGCGATTATCTCTTCTTTCGTCGTCACCGTTACGTCTTCCGGGAAGCCAAGGGCAACGAAAAAAACGTGGTTGGAGCAGATGGCAAAGAATTGGCTGGTGTACAGGGCATTCGTGCCGGTCTGCAGGAAATTGGGCCCAGGATGACTTTGAAGCTTCGCAGAGTCGACAAGGGTATTGGAAGAGCAGGCAGCGAGGGTAATGATGCCCTCCAATGGGAGTGGAAGGCAAAGATGGAGAAGCAACGTACCCGCTTCAACTTGTAAAGAAAAGAGACGGGAGTGCAAGTTGTGTTTGATATGGATCCTTTGTTGTCCAGTTTCTTGTGGCGGGGTTCTGACTTGTTGGCCGACTTGGTCCCTGCAACTTGGTTCAAGACCCAGTTAGCACGCAATAACAAATAGACCGTTTCGAAATATTTGGCTTGATTGCTTCATCATCTACGCTAGAAATCGACCGAGTCTTGTTCCGTCCCAAAACAATCGCTCGATGTTGGGATGACAGCCCTATCAACCCGCCGACAGGCGCATCCCTGTAGGACGACTCTCGTATACTCAAACAACCCCAATAGGTTTCGGCACCCATTCCTTCTCATCAACCAAGACCCAACTAGGTCCCTTTTCCTCCCTCTCTTTAACCTCCTCCAAAACCCTCCCCAATTCCTCCCTAACCATCTCTACATCCTTGCTCTCCTCCTCTTCTTCCACCTCTCCAATATCATCCATAGCCTCATCCCCTTCCAACTCCCTCACCAACCCAACCGCCCTCCTCATCCCCCTCCCATCAATTTTATCACCATCACAAACAACATCAATCAATCTAACCACCAACTCCCTCTCAAAAACCCTCAACCCATCCCTCAAAACCCTTCTCCTCCTCTCATCCTCCTCCCCCAAAAACCTCTTCAACAACTCCTTACACCTCTCCTCCTTTCCCTCACCCCCATAAACCTCCTCCTCAACCATCCTCTCCTCCCCCAACCCAACCCAATAATACTCCCACATCCACTCCAACCCCTTCTTACTAGCAACCCTTAACCGACTCAAACTAGGCAGCATCTCATGCGTAGCCTGATGTCTCAACTCCACAAACGAACTCGGCAATCCAACAGACTTCGCAACATCATACATGCTTTGCTTCCTAGCCATAGTCTGATGAGAATCTAATAATCCCGTAACAAACCTAGAAAAAGCTGCGCTATAGGCCGCTCTGACCGCATAACTACTTTCTCCATCAACGTTATCGAGGTCAGATAATATAGCTGCCGTTAATAAAGCTGTAGACTCGATAATATGAGGACATCCACCTCTGTGCATCCACATTGAGACGCGGGATACGGCTTTTTGTTTTTCTGTTTTAGAGTGCTCTGCTGAAGTAAAAGTAGTCTGAGTAGCAGGAGGAGGAGGATAAAATTGATTTCGAACGGTTAGGAGCTCGTCGCGTGAGCGCCAAGGTGTGAATACATATTGAACCATATTCTTTACGGTGTTCTGTCTTGTTGTTGCTTGAAAGTTTGAAGTGTTGGTCAAAGTTGCGAAAACCAGACCAAAAACTTGTGTGGTTGACACGAGAAACGCAAGGAGCTCACAACACACAGGCACATTCTATCCAGCAAAACCAAAGATTTATCAACGAATACATCTCTATATGTAAGAGCGCGTGCCCCACTCAAAACTGCGGTTGTTGCGTTATTACAATTGCGCCCATTTTTGCGGAGCGCACGAGCCATCCCTTAACAATTAGTTAGTGAAAATGGCCAAATCGCACCGAAATAAATTGTTAGTCTATTGCAGAAGTGATATATTTTTGTTAGTCTAAATGGACCAATGGGGGTGTGGGGGTTATAAAAAAAAGAATAAAAAAATAAACACGAAAAAAAAGATAAAAGAAAGAAGAATTGGTATAGCCTATAAAAGCTGAAGCCGAATGGAAGGAGTCCCAAAAAAAAAATCGAGGAAGGAACCACCAAAACCACCAAAACCACCACCCGCGAGGCCCGCGAAGCGGGCGGGCGTTAGCTCGTATATTTAGAAACCAACATCTAGAAAATATGAACGTGCGAATTCCCAATTCGGTGTCATTTCTCACAAATAAGCGCTTGCTCATGCCAACATGCATATGCATGCATTGCCTCCTTCATTTTACTTGGTGTTTTCGCCCAGCTGAAAATCCAATGGCTGGTTAATCCGAGCAAGTTTGCGATATTCTTGCGACCTCAGCCACTTCGAGACGCATCCAACAGATGTCCCATCCCTGTTTTTATAGGCAAAGGCCGGGTCCCTCCCGTCAAAGTTGGATACCATCCGAGGGCGGTGAAAGGCGGCAATTCCGAGTGACAGGTGCCCAAAAGGATCCCCGCGACCCCTCCAAAAGTTTCCCCTTGAGATCGACCGGCCGAGAAGCGGGCAAAGACTCACACTGCACCAAAACCACCAGGGATAGCCCCACCATAAACTTGAGTCAAACCGTCCCTCCTTTCGCCGTTCGCCTCGAATCTTTTTTACCCAATTATACTTGCCGCTCTTTTTGCCTACTTTGTTTCCTCTATACGGAATTGGGAAGCGCACATCACAATGGCAGGACAGGACGCAGATCAGAGATTAGCTCTCATCAAGGAGAACCTCGCCGAGGTTCTCAACGAGGAGATCATCAAGAAGGTCCTCGATGAGGGTGGCCACCCAAAGATTTACTGGGGTATGTTGTGTTGTCGCATAGCATAATCTGCCTTGTTAACACCAGTTTCCAACAATTCAGGTACCGCAACGACTGGCCGTCCACACTGCGGTTACCTCGTTCCCGCCATCAAGATGGCGCAGTTCCTCGCCGCCGGTTGCGAATTGACCGTCCTCCTCGCCGATATCCACGGCTTCCTCGACAACCTCAAAGCACCAATCGAGCTCGTAATGCACCGCGCCGAGTTCTACCGACACATAATCACCACCCTCCTCGGCGCAGTCGGCGTCTCCACCGAGAAGCTCAAGATTGTCCTCGGCAGCTCCTACCAAAAGAGCGCCGAGTACGTCATGGATGTGTACAAGATGGCGGCCGTGATTTCAGAACACGACGCCAAAAAGGCCGGCGCTGAGGTCGTCAAACAAACGGACAACGCCCCCCTTTCGGGTCTTCTCTACCCCATCCTCCAGGTTCTCGACGAGCAATACCTGGATGTTGATGCGCAGTTCGGTGGTGTGGATCAGCGCAAACTGTTCATTGCGGCCAAGGAGTGGCTTCCCAAGGTTGGATACAGAGAGCGCGCCCATCTTATGAACCCCATGGTTCCGGGTCTCCACGGCGGCAAGATGAGCTCCAGCGATCCCGACAGCAAGATCGATCTCCTCGACGCTCCAGATGTTGTGGCCAAGAAGATCAAGAAGGCTCACGCCGCTCCCCAGGTTGTTGAGGATAACGGTCTTCTTGCGTTTATCGAGTACGTCCTTTTGCCGGCTGCGCGCTTGAAGGGTGGTGAGGGCTTCAAGGTTGAGCGTGAGAGAGACGGCCTGCCGACTTTGGTCTACACCGATATCGAGAAGGTTAGGGAAGATTACAAGAACGATATTGTAAGTTTATTTGCGGTCTGATCTCGCCTCTTTCTTTTGCGCTGACCCATACGCTATAGTTAACGCCACAACTCATCAAACCTGCGATCACGCGGGATCTCAGCGCGCTCTTGGCTCCAATCCAGGAGGCTTTCAAGAACTCGAAAGAGTGGCAAGAAATTGCAGACAAGGCCTACCCTCCTCCACCAAAGAAGGAGAAGAAGGTCAAGAACAAGGGTACCCGCTACCCCGGTGCCGGTGCTGGTGCCCCAGCGGCGAAGGGTGAGGATGCCAAGGAGCTTCCTATTCGAAACGGAGATGCTGCCCCAGCAGAGGCCGCAGCTGCACCATGAGTGTTTTTGTTTAGACAATTTGAAACTAAATAGGGGTAATGTGAACATGATTGAACTCATACCATGGACTATGTCTGCTTTGTTTAGCGCTCATACGCCGCGCCGGAGATGATTCTGCATAACTGAAACGTCGAGAGTTGTGGTTTTTGAGTTTTGTATCACTGATTTTTGAGTGACAGAGCTGAAGATCATACCCTTGAGCTGAAAAAAACATACAATCATCAAGTAAGTCTCAGTGGTATAAACTCTAACAGTGGTGTTGTAATCTTGGACGAATATGAAGATGGGCAAAGAAGGACTGAGGCATTTAAAAAAAAAAAAAAAAAAAAAAAGGAGGGGGGAATGAAGAACAGATTTCGAGTTAAAAACCACCGCAAAGTTATTGTCATTTGTTTGAAGGAGGTACGGTCTAGCCCCTTGGACGGTTTTGTTTGTTAGCGTTAGCGACGATGAAGTTGGTGATGATTACAATATAATGATGGAGTGGGTGTTGGCTGAATAAAAATACCACGGAAGAGGAGGTGGAACAAAGGGATATATATATATATATATATAAAAGACAAATGAAGTTTATAAAAAACAAGTAGCAATTTGAAAAAAGAAAAAAATGATTGTCCCCGGTCGGATTCGAACCGACATCTTTCGCTGCCTCAAATCAAACTCGCTGGGGAAATTCAAACGCTGAAGAAAGCACACAAGCGCTGACCACTTCGCTACGGGGACTTGTAACTTGGTTAAAACGAAGAGCGAGAGTTTTGAAATAAATAGCCTGGCTTGTGATGTGGGTGGAAGAAGGATGATATCTGTTTGTGGTGAGTTTTGTGGCTTGGTGAGATGTTGACGAGTGACTGACTCGACGCCCATGTCAATCAATGACTTGTTCTTTAGCAAGACTTGTATCAGCAAAGACCTATCTTGTTTCCAACAAGGCAGTATAGCTTTGAAATGGGCCGTTCATTTATATATCCAGACCTTTATTTACAAAATACCTACCCTATTCATCTTTGAAGCAAAATAAGCCTTTTATAAACTGAAATAGCCCTTCTTTTAATGTACAAAACGTCTTGTGAGTAAAACAAAGGGACCTTCTACTTCTAGCTCCAAAGTGACATCAGAAGAACCGACTACGCACCGGATATACTGTATCTCTGATTATCTCCAGTCTCTTTCGGCGGCTGAATGCTTTCATTTGTGTCTCATGCGTCTCGAAAAAGTCTCTTCCAACTCCCAGCGTTGAAGACGATTCTCAAGGGACTGGAACATCTTGTTGATATTTTCCTCAACAGTCTGTAACCGGTTTGCCACCTTGGCCTCGAGAGCCTGTAGCCGCTTTTCCACCTTGGCCTCTAGTCTTTGGAACAATAGTTCAGTGTTCTTGTTGAGACCGTCGAAGCCGAGAATCATCACCTTAAAGTCGTTTCGCAGACTTGCGTGGAGGTTGGTGAAGCTGAATGCCATATTTGCCTTGAATGTTCCAAACTTGCTGTTGAAGGTATCAAACCCGGTGTTGAATGTGCCAATCTTGCTTTCCACAGTGTAAAGATTGTTGTCGAGAACCGCCATTTTGTTGTTGCCAGCTAGGATAAGTTGGCCGACAGCGTGGATACTGACTTCGACCGTCTTGACAGTATGGTCCCTGATAGCCTCAAGATTGGTGTTGACAATGTTGACATTGTTGTTGACCTTAGCGATATACGGTTTGAGAGATTGGACATTGTGGTTGACAGTGGTTAAAAATATACTATGATTGTCGTCACGGCTGTGAGAATTTGTTTGATTAATGTGAAAACGTCCATGGACTCGGAATGTGCATTGTGAGAGTTCATGGTGACGGTTGACGGCTGACAGTGAAGTTTATGAGTCGGAGGCAGAGAATAGATCCAATTGCCCAGTGAAGGATTGAGAAGATTGTTGGTTTTGGTGGAAGAGTTTGTCGGTTGCTTCCACAAAGGCAGCCATTGAGTCAAACTTACCGAGGAACCGACCAAGAATTTATGTGGTTATGGCTGAAACTATGATGCCAGTTATCCTCGAAGATAGACCCGAATCGAGTCAGAGATGAAGGGGAAGTTTCGAGGTTGTCTCTCTAGATATCGAAATCAAGGGCATAAGTATTCCGTATTGCTCCCACCAACAGCACAGAGGGAGCAAGACAAGCCAACCCATCTCAGCAGAAATGGCAAAAGCAATCCCATTAATTATGATACAGATACATGTATTCTCTGTATTTACCGGTACGGCTCCGTTGACTGTCTCCCCGGATAGGTCGACTGTGTCCCACTTCTTTTTTCCTCAACTCAACCCCCATATATATTTTATTTTTTAAAAGGCATGTTCTATTTCAAAAAGGTATATCGTATTTCAAAAAGGCATATTTTATTTCAAAAAGGTATATCTTATTTCAAAAAGGTATGTTTTATTTCAAACCGGCATTTTAATAATCAAGTAGTGTACAAATATCGCGCTATCAAACGTAGGCTGTTGAAGGACAAAGTTTACTCCGTAGCTGGCGCCCAATTCCCTGGTGGTTTGAACTGTGAAGGCAATTCTATGAACTATGACGTCAGTCTCTTGGGATAAGAATTCGAGGCTTTGATTGGTTTGCTGCTTCAACTGCCGCGGAAGGAATGGAGCGTTTCTGGGCACAGACCAGGAAGTTCCTTGGCGCATTGTAGCTTCTCGGTTATCTTATCTTTTTGACTGGCGGGGTCATTTTTTTCTTGAAGTTCAAAAAATGAATGGGTTTATACAGCAAGCATCCAATTCGCCCTCAACATAGCTGTTGCAAAGCTCCTTTTTTCTTCAGTTTCAAACCTCGAGCAAGAACCCAGCCGATTCTGAATACTCGAGACAGATAGACAAGCACACAATGCCAAAAGCAGCAAAACAAAAAAAGGGCGGCGGCGCCAGCGGCCCTTACGATCGCAAGGCCGGCGCAGCCCCGAAAAATACAAACATTTTCAAGTTCGATAAGGATTTCGGTCAGCATATTTTGAAGAATCCAGGTATATCAGATGCGATCGTCGACAAGGCCTATTTGAAGCCTACAGATGTTGTGGTGGAGGTTGGTCCTGGTACCGGAAACATTACTGTTCGCGCGCTGGAGAAGGCAAAGAAGGTTATTGCTAGTACGTTGCTGTCTCTTGATATCATCTGTGTGGTGTGTGGGAATGGGACTGACGTTGTTTTCCTGTTTTACAGTCGAACTGGACCCTCGCATGGGTGCAGAAGTAACGAAACGTGTGCAAGGAACCCCCCTCGCCAAAAAACTCGAGGTCATCTTGGGGGATGTGATTAAAATGCCCGAGATGCCCCCCTGCGACGCGCTGATTTCCAATACCCCCTACCAAATTTCGAGTCCGCTGATCTTTAAGATGCTGGCGATGAAGAATCCCCCAAGAGTGGCAGTTCTGATGTTTCAGAGAGAATTTGCGAAAAGACTGGTTGCGCGGCCGGGTGATGCGCTCTACTCGAGATTGAGCGTCAACGTCAATTTCTGGGCGACGTGTAAGCATATTATGAAGGTTGGAAAGCAGAATTTCAGGCCGCCTCCGAAGGTTGAAAGTGATGGTGAGTACGAGGAACAAAAATGGATATAATGGAGTGAAGCTGACAGGTGTGACAAAGTCGTAAGGATAGAACCCCTCGTTGGGTCAGCGAGACCCGACGTCGCATTTGAGGAGTTTGACGGGCTGTTGCGGATTGTGTTTAACCGGAAGAACAAGACACTTAATGCAGCATTTGGGGTCAGAGAGGTATTGACTATGTGCGAGAGGAATTATAAGGTGTATTGTGGGTTGAATGGGATTCCAATTGATGAGTCGGTCGTTGCCAACGGCGCCGCTGGAGGAGATATGGACGTGGATATGGAAGTTGATGAAGAAGAGGACGATGCGGACGAGGAGGGCGGGGAAGAGGAGTTTGGGGCAATGGACGAGGATGAGGATGACGAGATGCCTGCGTTCTTCAAGGAGAACAAGGAGGATAAGGATGCCACAACCAAGACGCCTGCCAGGAATCCAAAGTCAAAGGTGGCCCTGATTGTCAAGGCGAAGGTCAATAAGGTGTTGACAGGGACTGGATTGGGTGATAAGAGAGCGAGGCAATGCGATCAGAATGATTTTCTGAAGCTGCTATTAGCTTTCCACGAGGAGGGAATTCATTTCTCTTAGACAATGGTGCGATGAGAATGGCGTCTGGAGTTTTGGGTGATGAGATAAAAAGGAAAAGGAAGCATTTGAATTTTGGGAGCGATATACCTGTTATCTTCTTGGGGTCTGGGCTTGAGGTTTATATATGCAAGGTTCATGGGAGAATGGGTCATCAAATCTATGAGAAGCTTCGTGCTCTTCAAGGAAGGAGCGGTTTTCCTGTGTCGATCGTATTTCTGTCAGGGTAAGGCAAGTAAGATACTCAAGAAATATATTTGACAGCGTTCGTACATTTCAACCGACTCAGTCTCCTTTCCATACTTGCTATCTGCGTTGGTAACCTCAAAGAGCGGGCATGTAATACTTTACCAATCGGATGTAATAATACCACTTGTAGCGAAACACATCCCCACTTGCCAATCACATCCACTCACCATCTTCAACTTTACAACATTCATCAATCATTTCATGACAACACACTCATCAGTACACAATCTAATTACAAATTTTCGGTTTTTTTTTCGATCATTAACCCTTCACAACAATAAATAAAGCCAATTAATCATGAATAAAACCCAAGACGTCTCCACCAACCTGTTGGGTTCGTTTATTCAATGCATCCCCCGCCTCCATCTCAAATACTGACTATTGCAAACAGAGGAGCACAAGAAAAAGCTCTCGGATATAATGACCTACTTTTACGACATAACGACGCTTTCAACAGCCAAAGTAGGGTCGACCGCCTCGGTAGGACAAGCAGCTGCCTCCAGCATGGCGGTCGAAACTATGCTCAACGGAATCATCAAGTCGGTTGAGGATTTACTGGTATTTACGCGCGGGTTGCGCCAGCTTTGGGCTATCGGTCCGTTGGTGACGGAGGGCGAGGCGGATGTGAGGGCTACGAAGCAGATTGAAGAGGACTCAAAGGTTGTTTTTGAGATCTTGGACCGGTTGAGGACGCAGAGGAGGATGGAGTTGTTGAAGGATATTGGGGATGCGAAGATTAGCTATGTGGTTGATGAGAACGAGGGTGGAGATGAGGTACGAGGGGCTGTTAATTTGAGGGGGTTGCCTAGGGCTGTGAAGGGACGAAGATGAGCGCCTGATCAGTTTTGGGTGAGAAAAACAGAAGGAAAATACCATATATGTCTATCATAATAGAAGTGCTGTCAAACAAGTAATGAATTCTACCTTTGCCAGTTTGGTACACGATATAGCCGGGCGAGTCTGCACCGAAGTCTTCTGAATCACCGGATTATTTTGACTTCTACGCAGGAATTCGCAACTTCCAGCCAAAACAATGACTGGGCAGACAATCTGAATTTGAGATTCATATATTCAGGAACAGACTCCTCTGTATTTACGGTGAATGGGTGTAAAGCTACAACCAAACTGCCAAACATCAACAAACTACGATCGATCAATGCTCCTGAGCTCTAATTTTAGTCGTCTATGATAATCCCGGAAAGTGACAGAATGGGTGTAAGGTCGAGACTTCAATGAAATTGTCTGCAAATCTGAGGAAGAGCAGACGGGACTACCCCGAGCCTGAGCAGACCCTTCGTGCCGTGA